CATTGAAGGCATTGGCAACGAACAAGGCTCCAGGAATTGACAGATTACAAATTGAAACATGTCAACAAACTGATGAAGTACAGGAGGCACTCATCGTCTATTCGAAGAAATTTGGAAGACAGCTGCCTGTCCAGCTGATTGGAAGAGATCCAAATCTGTGTCCCTTCCATAAAATGGTGACCCATCAGAATGTGGAAACCATAGAACAATAGCATTAATATCACATGTGAGTAAAATTTTGCTGAAGGCAGTTCAAAAACAGTTACAGCAGTACATCAACAGAGAACTGGCAGAAATTCAAGCTGGTATCAGAAGTGTACGTGGAGCTAGGGATATTATTGCTGATGTTAGCTGCCTTCTGAAATCAAAGAATACCAAAAAGATGTTTCCTTGTGTTTCAGTGAGTACGCAAAGGCATTTGACTGTGTGGATCATGACAAGCTGTGGATAACATTGTGAAGAATGGGTATTTCAGAACACCTGACTGTGCTCCTGAGGAAACTGTACATTGATTCAAACAGAACAAAGGAATCCTGAGGGGTTTAAAATCAGGAAAGTTGTTAGCCAGAGTTATATCTAAGTGCTCAAACCTAACAATTGTGAGGATGGTGCAGGACCAGTGTTTCTTTCTGTTGTGCTTGTGGTTGCCATGAATCACTCTATGGTACCTAACAACCACAACAGTCATCTTTGAGGAATCAGAATAGCTTAAGATACAAGACCTATAAATATTAACATCACAATGCCTTAGACAGTCACTGAATAGTTTGCATGAGAATTAAGACCCATTTAACAAACCTTACACATTTCCAAATTCCAGTCATTTTGTCGTATTTATTCATACAAATATACAGATGGCAAAGTATCAAAAGACATTTGAAGACTAAAATACTATGAAATAAGAGAACCTAAGTCCTGGTGTGGCGCTGTGGGCTAATGCATCAGCCTGCAAAGTTGTTTGAACTGCAAGGTAGGTGGTTCAAGCTCACAAGCTGCTCCTTAGAAACCCTATACAGGGTTGCTATGGGTCAGAATCGACTTGGCACTTAACACCAACCTTCAACAATGGCATGAGAGTAGTGTCTGACCTCCTCCTAAATCCACAAAGTGATGGTTATTAAGTGCTGTCAAGTCAGTTCGGACTCACAGTGACCCTGAATAGGGTTTCTGAGGAGTGGCTGGTGGGTTTGAACCGCTAACCTCGCTCCTTCCAACAATTTTGCTGATCTCCAAACTACTCCAGGGATGGTCCTTTTCTTGGAGGACAGCAGATGTAGTTCCTTTGACTTGTTTCTTGCCTATAAATTTCCAAGAAGAAGGTGGGTTTGTTTTTTTTCCTCCTTACTTTTTCCTTTCAGTCTAAGCTGAGGTTTTCCTCTGTAGTAGTTGGTTTGATCCATCAGTCACAGGCATTATCTCTTTAACAAAATATTTTGTAGCTACATCCTTAGAACATTGTCCTTGATTTGTATAGCAGAATTTCCCAAATCTTTAATTTCTGTTTTCATTTTGAACAGCTCATTTTAAGTCAGTCCCTTTCCAGTCACATTTTACTGTAAGTGTTGCAAAAAATGTGGGACCAAATCATCCTTCACAGCAGTCTCTAGTCAACTAGGTTTCAAGATTTACTGCAATGATCCATAGAAAGTCAGACACCATACTCACAGTTACGGGGTTTATTAGGGAAGTTAAAGGTTAAACATTCAGGGTCAGGAATGTTCAGGGCACAATACTTTAGTCAGGATAACCTCTCCTCTGTTGGGTCTCCTCTCTGGGGTCTCTGCCCAGCCAATGTTACAAGGCTCTTTTAGGCTGCTGATAAATGCCTGCAAGACTCACCATTCCACCATAAGCCTTAGCCTCAAGGTTAGTCTCAACTCTCAGCTTAATGGATCAGCAAACCTGCCCCTCCAATTAACTGCCTAGAGACACCCCTTTCGACAGAACAAATAGTCCAAACTGGAGGATTTGGTTATTCAAGAAGAGGATGTGCTTTAACCATAGTAAAAGTTTTAAGCAGTATGAAAGTATTGTAGTTGGATTAGTGATAAGAACATTAAAAATGAAAAAGAAACTAGTAAATGTTGGGGGAAATTATTAATCCAGGGAAAATAAAATGTAGGAGAGGAAAGGAAAAGTTACCTTAACATGCCATCTATCTTCAGTTATGATTAGCATTTACATAACCATCATATTAATAATTACTACATGTTGGAGTCCTGGTTTGGCGCTGTAGGATAAGCACAAGGTCAGCAGTTCAAACTCACCAGCAGCTCCAGGGTCACTATGAGTTGGAACAGAGTCCACAGCAATTAATAACAACATGAGTTTGTTAGGATGGGAGTCTTAGAAACATTAAGATGGGTTATAGAGTAGTAGCATGATAGTGTGTGGCAGTGAACTGAATTTTCATTATATTGAAGGAACCTGTTATTCAATAGGTTGAGCACTGGACTTGAAGGTTTCTTTAAACCGCAAGGTCAGCAGTTCAAACTCACCAGCCACTCCTCCAAAACACTATACAGAGTCACTATGGTCCTAGTGTGGCACTGTAAGATAAGCGCAGAACTGCACGGTTGGTTTAAACCATTAGATCAGTGGTTCAAACTCACCAGCCACTCCTTACAAACCCTATACTGGATCGCTATGAGTCAGAACCGACTTGGGAAATGACTTGATGGTACTTAACAACAACAACAGCATTAGTTAAGAAGTAATGATAAAAGTATATTCAGAGATGGTGGAGGCAACCACATTAAAGAGTACAGGAAGTAGTTGCAGCTGAAAGGGAAAAATAAAGGTAGAGACAAGTAACTGCTATTTTTCATACAAGTTTTGTAGAATCTTAACAATAGGAGTATACAACTTTGATAAAAATCAAAATTGTATTATGAATTGTACTTTTCAAAATTAGGGATATAAATAGGTTTCTATTGTATTCCTGTAGATTTATTTTGGATTACTTTAAAAAATAGGTTTTCCACTGTGGATTCAATTTTTTTTCTTTTTTCTTTTTTTAATCAGATCAGATCCAGGCGGTCAAGACATGAAAAGATAACATTTAGAAACCTCAGCAATCTCCAATTCAAGAAATGTATATTTAAGGCAATCGGAATACTTAAAAGTTTTCAGAGGATTTTTGTGCATCTAAGAATGCTTTATAATCTTCTACTTGCATATATGGACTCTAAGTGAGCTTTGTAACAATTTAAGAGTTTAGGTCTGCTAATCTGGCCATTAGCTATATGAAAACTAAATCTACTCTTCGAAGGACTTCATAGAATTATCAGCCTCTTGGTAAGGGTATATATTCAAATTAGAATGTTAAAAGCTAGCTCAGTGTCTCATCACAATTTATGCAGTTTTTTAAAAAAATCATCTTTTTTTTTTTTTCAATTTTAGCTTATGGTATAACTTTATAGTACAAATTGTGTTTGTAAAAAAAAGAAGTTTAGATATTTATAAGGGACCGTGGGTAATTGGTGTATATTAAATTTTTGCTATATGTTACCATAAATAAAACATAAAATATAATATACTAACTGGTGTGCTTTATTTGTAATGAAAACAATAATGCTCTGGTAACATGATATTTGGTGTTTTACTTTCCCTCATTTCTATATGATATGAAAACAAATTAAGCTAAATATATTTATTCAGTAGATATTTATTGAACACCTGTCAGTCAGGCATAGTCCTAGGTAGTAGAGATAAAAGATAATACGGCATATTCCTTGCTTCAAAGAACATAAAGTTTAATAAAGGAGAATTTGAGATCTGTTTCATCATAGTATCTGATTTTATGTTATTGACTGACTGAAAATACTATGTCATCAGATTAAGAGATACAAAAGTGAATTAACATTTGGTTGTTCAATAATTATTATAATTGACTTCTTGTTTCTTCATCTAAAATGCCTCCAATTTACTATAGTGGTCTGCTACAATGAATTATGAGTCATTAAGCTTCCATTGATGGTGTCAAGTGTGGCAGCAATAGTGAGGTTGGCCCAGGATCAGACATTGTTTCGTTCTGCTGTGCATGGGGTCGTTATGAGTCAGTTCCGACTCAATGGCACCTGACAACAAAAACAACAACAACAAGCTGCTTCATAAATGTTTTTTAGAATGTGACGTCTCACAGCCTAACTGAAGACCACTTATAGCTATGGACTCTGGATGCTTTCATTTTAAGTTAATCATTGGAGGCAGTTTTTATAGCAATGGTGTCAATCCTGGAAAAAATGTATATAAAGAAAGACTGATATATAATATATAACTCACTGACATCCATAACTGTGAGAATGATAAAAGCAGAAGGCAAAAGATAAGTAAGTTATAAAGATGTGTCATGGTAACTACAAGTGTGGTATATGTTTTACAAAGATTTTAATAAAATCATTTAAAAACTATAATAAAAATTCTATAATCCAGTTTCTCAGTTCAGAAATCTCAGTGATTTGGCAAATTGAAATTTATCCAGAAAGCACTTAAATTAGGAATTAGTAAAGCAATTCATTGGAAATTACTAAGTAGCCAGAAATTAGCATGACCCAGGAAGAACTCTGTGGTAAATGGAAAAATATGGCCATAATACTTTGGGTTCTCATCAAGAAATGGAGTTGATTTACCCATGCATTGAATGTTGGACTCATGACTTGTTTTGGCCAATAGGTTGTGGCAGAAGAGATATTGTTCAAATTCCAGAGCCTAGCCATCAAGAGGCATTGCAGCTTCTGACTTTGCTATTTGAAGAGAACTGAGGCGCTTCAGCCACAACCCCATCTGTCAGATGTGTGAGTGAAGCCATATTGAACCTTAACCTTAACCAGCTGATACTCTAGCTGAATGCAGCTATATGAATAATTCAGGGGTGAAGTCTAATGGTGTAACTATGGAATCAAAAATGACTATTGTTTTAAGCTACTAAGTTTTATAGTGGTTTGTTGTGCAGCAAGAGAATAGTACAGACCCAATAGGATTAATTAGTTAGGCTTTTTGGATTGGCAAGAATGGAGATATAGCCAGGCTAGCTTAACAAATTAGGTAATATTTTAAGGCACATATACTTTTGACAGGAGAAAGATGAGGCTTTCAGCTCCCACAAAGATTTACAGCCTTGGAAACCCTAGACAGAGTTGCTATGAGTTGGAACTGACTTGACAGTACTTAACAACAACACTTGACAGTAAGTGAGATAGGAATATTATAAAAATGTAAGAATTAACAGGGCTAGGTTTCATAGATACAGAAACTAGAAGGTCATTCTGCATACAAGCTAATTCTAGTCAGCAGGAAGAGTTTGGTCCTCCATCAATTCCTTGATCTTTGCATATATATTTTCATTTGTCTTTTACCAATTGATTAATTCTATTAGTATTTCTAAGTTTACATATATAGTAGTGAATCTGATTGGCCTGTACTCATTTGCTATTATTCTTATTGGGACAAAGCTTTTCACCCTGGGCAAATCATAGATCATTTCTATTCTGTGAGTGAGTATTTACCCCTGACCCATGCTGCTTCTTGGAAACCCTATAGAGGGTCTGGGTGAGTCAGAACCAACTCAACAGAACTTAACAACTATAGAAAAGAAGATAATATATAGTATAGAACAGCTTGGGATAACCTCCAACAAATTCTTTATCCCTCATAAGAACCATAAGGACAGAAATATCAGAATAGATCCCTAAGACACACCTCGAACTAAGCTAGTTTGTTTAAATAATTAATTTTCTAGGGTACTTTCCAGATACTTTATCAGCTACTCTAGATACACTTAGGTTCTATTTGCTTTTTGCTTCTTGAGTTGCTATTTGCTTCTGGGATTCAACCAACTTTGGTGATCGTGGTGATGTGCCATCTAGCCGGTTCCAACTCATAGCAACCCTGTGTAGGGATTCCAAGGGTGAAAATCTTTATGGGCACAGACAGCCTCATTTTTCTCCCATGGAACTGCTGGTGGATTCAACCTGCTGAGCTTGTAGTTAGCAGCCTAACACGTAACCTACCTAACACATATGCTACCAGAACTCCTTCAACTAACTTTAGGTAGGTACATTCACATAGTCCCCACATCATGCCTACATCTCTCACTTCCTGTTTCTGTACTTAACTTCCTTTTGCTTCCATGTGCCCACCATTACCATACCCAAACATGCTTTGACTAGTGTGAGACAGAAGCTTTAACTAGTGTGAGACAAATGCTTCCCTTCTTCTGCCTTCCTACATCAGTCATGGACAGTTTGGAGATTCACTATGTATAACTGTTGGATGATTCCACTTACGCTAGCAATTAGTTAGGATCATGACAAGCTATGGACAACATTGCCAAGTATGAGTATTCCAGAACACTTAATTGTGCTCATGAGAAATCTGTACCTGGACCAAGAGGCAGTTGTTCGAACAGAACATGGGAACACTGAATAGTTTAGAATTAAGAAAGGTGTATGACAGGATTGTATTCTTTCACCGTACTTATTCAACCTGTATGCTGAGCAAATAATCCGAAAAGCTGGGTTACATAAAGAAAAACGTGGCATCAGGATTGGAGGAATACTCATTAACAACATGCGATATGCAGATGATACAACCTTGCTTGCTGAAAGTGAAAAGGTCTTAAAATACTGATGAAGATCAAAGAACACAGCCTTTGGTATGAATTGCATCTCAATGTAAAGAAAACTAAAATTCTCACTACTAGACCAATAAACATTCTGATCAATGGAGAAAAGATTAAAGTTGTCAAGGACTTCATTCTTCTTGGATCAACTATCAATACTCAGGGAAGCAGCAGTCAAGAAATCAAACAACATAGCGCATTAGGTAAATCTGCTGCACAAGACCTTTTTAAATTGTTGAAGAGCAAAGATTTCAGCTTGAAGACTAAGGTGTGCCTGACCCATATGCATATGAAAGCTAGACAGTAAATAAGGAAGACTATGGAAGAATTGATGCATTTGAGTTATGGTGTTGAAGGAGAATATTGAAAGTGCCATGGGCTGCCAAAAGAACAAACAGATCTGTGTTGGAAGAAGTGCAGCCAGAGTGCTCCAGGATGGTCAAACTTCATCTCTCATACTTCGGACATATTGTAAGGAGGGACCAGTCACTGGAGAAGGATACCATGTTTGGTAAAGTGGAGGGTCAGAGAAAAAGAGGAAGACCCCCAGTGAGATGGATTCGCAAAGTAGCAGCATCAATGGGCTCAAGTGTGGCAAAGATAGTGAGGTTGGTCCAGGATCGGGCAGTGTTTCATTCTACTGTGTAAAAGGTCACTATGAGTCGGTACCAACTCGATGGCACCTAACAACAACAAATGAGCAAAAGAATGATGTAGAAAGCATCAAAAGAAGGTGGAAGGAATACAGTCACTGCACCAGAAAGAATTGGTCGATGTTCATCAATTTCAAGATATGGTATATACATAAGAATTCAGGGTATTGAAGGCAGAAGTCTACACTGAACTGAAGGCATTGGCAAAAAACAAGGCTCCAAGAACTGATGGAATACCAATTGAGATGTTTCAACAATGGATGCAATGCTGAAAGCACTCACTCATCTATGCCAAGAAATTTGGAGGACAGGCAGCTGGAAGAGATCCGTATTCAATCCCATTACAAACAGAGGTGATTCAACAGAATACAGAAACCATCAAAATGTCTTTGATATAAGATACAAGTAAAATTTTGCTGAGGATAATTAAAAAGTGGTTGTAACAGTACATCTGCAGGGGACCACCAGATTCAAAAGAGGAATATCAATGCAGGCATAAGATAGATCTTGGCTGAAAGTAGAGAATACCAGAAAGATGTTTAACTGTGTTTTATTGGTGACGTAAAGGCATTTTACTGTGCACTATAATAAATTATAGCAACATTGTGAAGAATGGAAATTAACGACTACTTCATCATGCTCATGCAGAACCTGTATATACCATAAGAGAGTTTTTGAGCAGAACAGAGGGATACTTCATTTTAAAATCAGGAAATATGTATGTCAGGATTGCATCCTCACACCATACTTACTCATTTTGTATGCTGTGCAAATAATACAAGAAGCTGGACTTTATGAAGAAGAATGCGACATCAAGATTAAAGGAAGACTCCTTAACAACCTGTGATGTGCAGATGACATTACCTTGCTTGCTGAAAGTGAAACATTTACTGATGAAGATT